TTGTAGGCTTTTTTTAATCTCAATACATGCCCATGAGGACGGTAAATTTTGAAATCGATCGGCCTCGATCGGCCGAACCGTTTTCCTTTCCTAAATCGTTAAAGTTTTATAGAAAATTAAAGGAGAAGGTTTATTGTTCCTTAAACATCAATTACCTAATGATTAAGATAAAACATATTTTTTGCGTTATTTTTCTCACAATTTCGCGTTAAATACTCATCAAATATCGAAAAAAAACCTAAATTTTGGAAAAAAAATCAAATTTTCCAACTTTTTTTCAAATTTAAAAAACTTTTTTTCCGACATTTGAAAAATTCAATGTAAAATTGCAAAAAGAGGAGACAAATTTTTTTTTTCAAAATTGATTTTTATTTTTTTATTATTTCTTCTTTCTCAAGATTTAAAAAACTAGAATATTCAAGTTTCACAATGCCTTTTTTCCTCGATACGACCATTATTCACAGCCTTTAAAAAATCACTAAAAAAATTTTGAAATTTTTCTGCTCACACCCGGTAGATACATCACATATTCTATAAAAAGAACAATTTTTTAATAACACTTGTTCAGCAGGGTGCGCTGTAAATTACAGACACTTTAAATATTATTTGCTCAAATTAGCTTAAAAAACTGAAACTTTATGCAAAATAAATCAATTAAAATTTTTACGTGTTTTTACCGCCACTAGCAAGTACGAATGAAAAGTCAACGAACCACATTTCTTTCTTTCTCACAGAAGTGAAAACTTGCAATATCATTAATTTTACCGTTACTGAATAGCAGTCTGAATGATTTCACTACATAATTGAAAAGACAAAAAGAACAGCTTCAACAGGGAGAATAAAACAAAGAGTAGATCATACATCTTGCTACATTCCATATGGTAAATAATAACAATGCCGCAACACAAATTGCATAATGGTAATTGTTGCTTTAAAGAGTTATGAAAACATGAAAAAACAATCGAACACATATGTACTTATGTACAATGCCATATGTTGAGAATCTACACATAACAAGCGGTTGTTATAAGGTTATGTAAAATGTCTTAAAATTCACAGTAAAATAAACACAGAGTTCTATGAATTATATTTAGCAGTGTCGCTTTATCTGATTATTCAAATTGATTACATTTGAGTTAAACGAACTTTTCAATTTTGAGAACGGAAACAAATAATTTTTAGAAACGTTAAATTAACAGTTTGTTTTTTTTTATGGTAAAATATGCAAATAAACAAAGACAAAAAACTAAAAATGTCACAAATATATAACTGTAAACAGCAGACAACTTTCTTTCCGAAATACTGGCGTATTATTTGCGGTAGAATCCTCAAAACCTATGTTTGTGGTCTACTTGTTACGTAGATACATAAAAATATCACGGAATGACGTACATCGTTTCCATTTTTGGACGAAGATGGCACCGATGTTATCTCTAGCTGTGCCGACATGGTTATCTTTGTTGGTTATAATAGGCCTATAAATTACCTACTGAATATTTTTAGATGAAAGTGAGAAAGTCGCGATAAAAAAAATATTTGGCACGACTCATATCACAAATATTTCCATGGATCAGAGTAAAAATAAGTGGGAATATGTATTAGTCACAAAATTAATAAAGTTGCTATTATTCTCTCGACAAAGTCATAATATGTACATATTACTAACAATAGGTACAACATAATAATAATAATAATAATACACCTAGGACTTTTTTAGCGATAAAAATGACAAAACATTAAACGAGCAAACTATACAGAGTATGAAAAAAATAAGGGGATTTTCATGTAAAACAAATTCTTTGTTCTTTCCCTGTGGATGTATGAAACGAGGAAACAAAAATTTACCACTCATTTATTTTTTTCTTTACACGTGGAGAAAGTTACAAAAATGAAAATTACGTCCAACTTTCCTACTATCAATAATGCACTAACTAGATAATCTCTTGGCCATCCCCTTCGACTGGAAGTGGTAGAAATAAACATACCTACAAACAATTCCTTGCATATTTTTTTTTTGTCGCCAATGTGGTTAAAAAAATTGTTTTAGATAACTCGAATAATTTAAATCTCGTTTTTTTTCACAAATTATTGATAATGTATTTTATTATTTTATACAATACAGTATGTTCACCGTTAAGAGTGATTTAGTCACAACCTACTCTTTGAATTAAAGTGAAATAACGTCAAAGATGCAATATTATTATTTTAAATTACAAACAAAATTTTAGATAAAAATATTTCTTTCCCATAGCGGAGAAAAAAGATCAATTGTATCCGTTTACACATCCTTTAATAAAAAAAGTGTATCAATTTTGCAATAACTTGAAATCGTACAGGGAAAGTAACTCCCTTGTTATTCATAATACAGAAAAAAAGTTTATATAAAAGTTGTACAGAATCAAAAAATCTAACGGACAAAATTAATTTGAAACATACAGGGCGGTTAGTAAAAACGTGACACGCCAAATATTACATTTTCAAATATTTTTACTCCAAGTGTTAGTACTTGAAAGTTAATACAACTTCTTCGAGGTCGTTTTTTCCAAAATTCGAAGAATTTTCTACATAACTTGGCAACCCCGCACTAAAATGTTAAACTGTTTATATTGCCTTATACAGAATTTTCTCGGAAATCCATATGTTTAAAAATATACAGGGTGTTCCATTTAAAAAATGTAATATTTGGCTTGTCCCGTTTTAACTCATCGCCCTGTATGTTTCCAATTAATTTTGTAGTTTAGGTTTCTTGATTCTGTATAACTTTTATATAATTTTTTTCTCTGTATCATGAATAACAAGGGATTTATTTTACTTTCTCACACTAATGGCCCTGTATATTTTTTTTCATACTTAAAAATGTTTAAATAGAAATAGTAGTAATATTTTCAATGTTTTTCAAATTTTCGCGCCCTGTTCACTCAAATCGTCGACATAAATTTTTGTAAATAATGAAAGTGGGCCAATCTTGCAATAAACGGAAATTCTTCGGTAATTTTCAATTCAAAATTTTCCCAATAACACTTTTTCAAAAGAGTATAAATAAAGGAAGTTTACTCTTGACATTTTCATATTTTTTAACTTTCCGGATACCCCGTACAAGAAATATTAACTTTGTTCGTGGCAGCCCCATTTCAAATACAGCAACAAAACTTCTTATCAAGCGTGCTGTTTCCCGTAAAATGTAAAACAAAACAAACATTTTTCATTTAATGTACGTAATTTCTAAAAAACAAAAAAATCAATTCAACATTAAATTCAAGATCCGTTTTTCGCGGACCGCCCTGTATGCGACACGGATTTTCGCGGGCGAAAAAACTGCGAGCTACGGACATATAAAGGCATGTCGACGCAAACGCGCGGGATCCCGCGCCAAGACCACGCTGCGCTATAAAAAGACGCCTGCGGGACGCCCTGCCGACGCCGCCGACGACGTGGCAGCGCGGCGTCTCCATTTAAGGGGCCCGCCATCCTCTCGGTCAATCGCCTGCGTCGGTGGTCCAGCGAAACCGTGTCAAGCTCGGAAGGAGGTTATGTTTGTTTACAATACGTTTGGCGGACGGCGATTTTAGCGAAAAGTCGAATCTCGGGAGATTTTCTAATCGCTGACGGTATTACTTTGTATGAAACTACGACTTTCTTTTTTACATATTCCATTAGTGAAAATTTTAACTTATAATGTCATTAGAGCTTAAATTATATCCGGAAATGTTTCAACGTCATAGACACAGAATTTTTTTTAAGGGATAATTTTATAAAAGTATGACCAAGAAAAAATTTCCCCGAAATAATAAAAATTTCGCATAAAAATTGTGAATAAAATTAAAATAAAACCAGACATTTCCCAAGTCGAGAATAATTGAAATCTAAATGCGAAAAATGCCATGCCAACCGTGTTTAGTCGACGTGATCTTTTTGTTGAAATTGTTGTAGTGTTTTAAAACGTTTCCTTTCGGTAAAAAAGATCAAACATAATTCTAAAAGTTCAAAATTTAATACCAAAAAATACCAACGCGAAGGATTGTCTACTCGCATTCAATTTTTCAAAAAAAGAAATTGATAATCTAAGAAATCTGAAAGGTAGCATTGAATATGTCCTGTCTATTTGTACAAGAAATAAAAAAGAGGAAACATACGAAGACCGACATATTGTTTTTAACTCCAGATCCAAACGAAAGGAAGTAAATTCAAGAGAATGGTACAAGGACTGCCCAGTTAGGATGAATATAGGATATATCTATGTTGGTTAAATCCACAGTTTCTGATATAGGGAATTGACATAAAAAAACAAAAAATAACCAATCATTCTGAAAGAACGACTGTCAAATTTGACCAAAAAGGGCATTGGAGGACAATACTAAATAGAAAATAGAGAATAGTTGTATATTAATATTAATTAGTTTATTGTTCGAATTGCTCTATGCAACAAATTTTTTTATTACTGAAATATCATTAGCAAATTTAAATTCAAACAAATTTATTTCATGTTTTCAGATGAGGTCAAAGAAAAGAACAGTTATTAATTTTATTATCGAAAATAATAAAACGTAACTTGTATATATTTTTCCACACAACTCAAATAGAATTGGATTCACGTATTAGCGTTTAGGAGAAAAAAATAAAGCATTTTATACTATACTAAATAAAAATTTAGAACATAATAAATGAATTACCTGTATACCACATGTCACAAATATAATCTTAAATGATAGAAAGTTTCCAATATAATTTCGTCTAAAGTAGGTGCCCAGCAAAAAAACATTTCAATATAATTTTTTTTGTTGCCATGGTAGTTTTAAAATAACATCGTTTGATGGGCTCCAGAAAAGGTTGAGATTGTTAGTTGTGTAATATGGCACGATGGAACGTGTTTTTTTTTAATAACAGATATTAAGGTTAATAAGGTTTTATTCTTTAACAGAAGCAAAAAATTTAATTGCAAAATAGTAACATCTCAAAATTATGCATCGAAAGATGAGTGTATTGCTTTTTTTTTAACTTACCACATAGCCTGGACCGATACTGGTTTGAAAATGTGATGACGCTCACATACGCTGACGCTGAAACCTCTGAAACAAAATGAAAAATCAATTAATTACAGTTTGGCGACAACCTATTATACAGGGTGTCCCAGTACTTGATACAAAAAAGTCGAGTAAACATAAATGAAGTCACAATAATATCAGTTGTTCATACAAATTTTTTTCATACGGGCCTTCGTTAACAAGTTACGGGCCTTCAATGGTGAAAATTAAAGTTATTTTTATTTACAGTCTCTAAACTCCTAATTGCATTTTGACAGTTAGTTGACAGCTTGTTGACAGCTGTAAGCTGATGACTACATAATTTTATATCATATTTATATTCACTTATCTAAAAAACTTGAAGTTATAAACAAAAAATAATTTTTTGACTTTATTACCGGACTTTGAAGAATTGTTGACAGCTAAATGACAGCTGCCGATAGTCATTGTTATTGATTTGATATCGTCTTTGAACTTATCGAACTAAAAAAAAGAAAGATAAAACATAAAAAACAAGTTTTTGGCTTTAATATAGCACATTGACAGCTATTTGACAGCTGCCAACTGTCAATTTTGAAAATCTAACAACAGATCTGAATTCAGCAACCTCAAAAATATAAACCTAGATAATAAAAAAAATGAAATAGGCTATTTCAAAAGTCTATACACACTGAGCATATACATAAATCCGTGGAGGATATTCGGAGCTTTAAAGCTCTGTACCGGCCAAACTATCTATTTTTGAGCTTTGTGGCCATTGAGACAATTGACCAGTATGATGAACTCTATCACATATCAAAAATTCAGCGAATTTGACCGGGACCCAATTTCCATAAGATTTGTGCGGGGTCCTTTGGTAATCGATAACACATGCCTACAGCTTGTTTTTGATGTAAGTGAAACTTCATTATGCTCAGTACACTAGTAAATAAAAATAACTTTTTAATTTTTCCAGCTCAGTATTATCCTAGAATGAGATTTCTGATATGTCTGATCTGAATATCTTCAATTCGCTCCGTAACTTTTCGGATTAGAGTACGCCGCTGCCCAAAACTATACAGCGTCAGTATTCTCCCAGAATGAGATTTTTTATATGCACAATTTTATCTAAAAGCCCCTTGACTTTTCGAATTTAGGTACGCCGCTGCTCAAAACTGTACAGCGCCCAAATAAGAGCCACATACATTTCTACGCCCGGCTTCATCCTTCCTAGACTGTATGGCTGCTTGCCCTCTCAAGGCGGAGATATATATCGCGACGCGACGACCTTTGCCCGTCCATGTAACAAAACCAAGCCGGTTGAGCGAGCACACTTGTACTTATGTGCAAGCACAAAAGGATGAAATAAGCACCCCGGCGCGGCGGTCCAAAGTCAATGAACAGAATTTAGAGCAGAAAACATAGTAAATACCAAAAACGATTAATCAACGTCGCAACGAGGCTCGCACGGTTGAACGGCTGCGACCGTGTCGATATGGGGACTTATTTAGTCCACATACACACAGTGGGAAGCATTGTACAGTGGGAACGAGGCTGGAGTGAAGTGGCATTAGACGGCTTCCAAGAAAATAGGATTTACTATGTGCAAATACAATTCAGTTACATGAAAAACATAAATAATAGATAACAAAACAATTGTTGAGTCAATATTGTTAATCCCCATTTATTTCGACATGATTAGAGTAACAAAACTGTACTTTAGATACGGTTTTAAAGAATTCTTCTGGCGTTCATAGGGCTAGGAAGATATTCTTTCTATACCGCCAAAAACGAGTCACAAATAAATCACTCAAGCAATTGCAAAAAACGAAGACTTGCTTAAGTTTTCTCAAAAAGTTTTATCGCGTAGATACTATGCATAAGATGAATTTTCGTTATAGTACCCAGTATGTATATCACTCAATGCATTTGAGTGATACAAGCAGGTGCCTTCTTTATAACGAGTCCGACAAACATTTCTTTTTAGAAAATTTTCGTCATCGCCGCTTTTTCAACGAAAGATTCCGGGAATTGTCGTTCTGACGCTGTGCTACAATGCGATATATGCAATTTTCAAACAATTAAAAAAAAATATGTGTCCAACAAAAATCATGCCGCGTTCCCATTTGTCCACCATCCCCAAAATGTTAAAATGGCTTCATTATGTAACCTTTTCGATAAAAAATTCAATTCTCTACAAAATTTTTCCTATGAACTATACCGAAATTTTGCTTCGTTTTCGTGCTATATTTAAAAAACTGCAAATGTGCTTTTTCACCCCTATCTTCAATTTCAACCCTCTAATTTAATAACACCCACCCGGTTTTTTCATTTTTAATGACCCTTCGAACAAGTCATGTGATGAAAATCCTTGAACGTCTTATTTCCTTCCTTGTTTGCAAAAAATGAGAGTTAAAACGTATAAGGGTAAACGCGACGAAAATCGAAAAATTGGCTAAGTTTTAGCGGCCATATACCAGTCAATTCTCTAAAATCTAAAAATACTTTATAACCTATTGTTTTGAAGGAAATTTTATCTACTTTTTTTTTCTATGAACCTATCTTTACTCAAAAAAACTAGAGGCAAAAAAGTAAAAAAATCAGAAAATCGAATTTTTGGCTTTTTTCAAATTGTTTATTAACGATTTTTTGGAACAAAATATTTTTAAATAAGTTATTTCGATAGGAAATTCAACTCTCTAAATAATTTTTCCTATGAACTATAGCGAAATTTTGCTTCGTTTTCGAGCTACAATTAAAAAACTGAAATGGGTGCATTTTCACCCCTATCTCCAATTTCCGCCCTCTAATTTAATATCACTCCGCGTTTTTTTAATCTAAAATCACCCTTTGAACGATTCATGCAATAAAATTGCTTGAAAGTCATAGTTCCTGTTAACCTTGTTTTTTTTATATATATATAATCAATAGCCTAAGCCTAAATACTCCAAAAAACTACACATATACACACAATCTTTCACATATACAATAACGAAGTAACTTTTTTTTATAACAAATAAAATTCCAACTTTTTTTTTTAAATCTTTTTGAATAAATCTAAGAATATTAATTTTTATGGGAAAAATATTTATCTGAAAATATTATATTATATTAGTTTTATGCGAAAAGGGTTTAACTGTTCTAATTTTTACTAAAAGGTATTTTTGCGTTTATAATAAAAAAAATTTGGACGTTAGGAAAATAATGTTGGTATTTTAATCTTTGAACAATAACAATATTTTACTGGTAATTTATATTATTCTAATCTTTGAATCCACCAAAAATAATAGCAATAATAGCAATTGTACATTTTGATAACTTTTTCAGATTCGTTCATCTCGTAATATTAAATAACTAACAACATCTGTTGAACCATAATTTACTAAAAAAAATATATTTTAATTTTATGCTATAGCTATTAATAAATAATAAGTAATTTAATATAAAAAGTGCGAGGTACCTACTAGAAAAATGAGAAATACAAAGAAAAAATGCAATTTAATATTAATCAATAAGTACAAAATCTCATTTTATCAGTGAACCCTAGCATCTGTTTTTTCATTTTTCATTTACGCTTTATTATAAAAAAAAAGTACAAAAATTTTAAATTAAATTTGCATTCAATATTTAGAACAAATTATAACAATTGTTATAAATGAAACTTAGGTAAAGTAACAATGATTTTTTTTAAATAATTATTTTGTCAATACTTTTATTTTTTATCAATAGTCTATTTATTTAAAAAATACGTTTATTTAAGATATTTAAGTAATCATATTTGTTATACAGGGTGTCTCATAATTAGCCAACCCTGAACAGGCCGATTCTATGATCAAAACTAAGTAAAAAAGTTCATATGAACATGGGTCCGGAAATGCTTCCTAAGGGCACAGGGACCCATTGAAGAGGGAGGAATGGAAATAATTTTTTTGCAATATCTCTCAATCGCGTTGTGATAAATGAATGAAATTTGGTATACACAGCTAAATTTTGATGAGCAATTTGATGGACTAATCCATTTATTTCCACAAGGTCCATTGGGGTGGGTACGGGGGGGCCCTTGGTACTTTGCGTGTGTAACTTTTTCATCTTTGACTTTTTAACAAATTGGACAGCAAATTCCGTTTTCCCGAACTGTTTTACGTTAAAAAGGTACTCTTGTTTCAAATCGTTATCTTTAACGGTTTCTGAGAAAATCGCTCTTGAATTAATCCCACTTTGGTCAATTTCATAGTAATTTAAACAAAAAAAATTTTTTTGTTTAAATTTAATCTAATTTTAATAAAAAAATAATAATAAAAAATTAAATTAAATAAAAATTAATCCTTTAAATGGAAAAGAGAGGAAAGGAAAATTATTATTATTATTTTTTGTTTAAATTACTATGAAATTGACCAAAGTGGGATTAATTCAAGAGCGATTTTCTCAGAAACCGTTAAAGATAACGATTTGAAACAAGAGTACCTTTTTAACGTAAAACAGTTCGGGAAAACGGAATTTGCTGTCCAATTTGTTAAAAAGTCAAAGATGAAAAAGTTACACACGCAAAGTACCAAGGGCCCCCCCGTACCCACCCCAATGGACCTTGTGGAAATAAATGGATTAATCCATCAAATTGCTCATCAAAATTTAGCTGTGTATACCAAATTTCATTCATTTATCACAACGCGATTGAGAGATATTGCAAAAAAATGATTTCCATTCCACTCTCTTCAATCGGTCCCTGTGCCCTTAGGAAGCATTTCCGGACCCATGTTCATATGAACTTTTTTTACTTAGTTTTAATCATAGAATCGGCCTGTTCAGGGTTGGCAGTTAATTATGAGACACCCTGTATAAAGAGCATTGCGCTTTTACATTTATAAAAAAATAGACTTAAATTAGCTGTACTTTTCAACATTTTTATCATCTACAAAAAAGTACGATATCGATGATATTTCCATATAATGACTGAAATAGTAGGAAAATTCACATTTAATAAAATTTCGATTATTAAATTAGTTACAAACTTTATTTTTATTATATTTTATAAATTTTTAAAATTATTTAATTTATTTAAAAAAAGTTCGTTTAGAGTATTTTTAATGTTTTATCAATTTTTTATTAATTTGCGGTGCTGTTTTTGTAGGACGCATATTTTTTTGTAATAAATACTTTATTTCAAAACGAAAAAAAAATAGACTTGCTTGTATGAGGAAGCATAATCTAGCCATTTTGACATATTTGGGGCGTCGGACTACTTACTTGTACGCTGCATGATTTTCGTCGAACAAGTTGACCACAGTTTGTTTCACAAATTATATACAGGATCGGAAAGTCACCATGGTTCATCGGCCGTTATGAGAGAGCGATAAAATAAGTCATAGGAATCCGTGCGATAGAGAAAGATGGCTATAATGAAGGCGTCTAAGAGTCACCGCCCATTTCGCCCTTCCACAAATAAGAAGTGGATCTTATTTGTGGAAGGGCGAAGTGGGCGGTGACTATTAGACGCCTTCATTATAGCCATCTTCCTCTACTGCACGGATTTCTACGACTTTCTTTATCGCTCTCACGTAACGGCCGATGAACCATGGGGACTTTCCGACCCTGTATGTACTTCAGCTGTTTACGCAAAATGGAACTTGCATGTATAAGGATACATAATGACGCAATTTTGACATTTTGGGGATGGTGGATAATTGGGAACGCGGCATGATTTTTGTCGGACAAATACTTTTTTAATTGTTTTGTCATAGAAACTGACCATTTCGATAAAAAAAAAATTGCATGTATCTCATTGTAACGTAGCGTCAGAACGACAATTCCCGGAATCACTCGTTCAAAAACGCGGCAACGCTGAAAATTTTCGAAGAAAAGTTTGTCGGACTCGCAAAGTTTGGCTCTTGCCAGAACGAAAACGAAAAAGTATGCTTACAGAATATCGATATCGAATCAATAATTTGTACTTTATTTAATTACATCTGCAACCCCTTCAGTTACTCCACTGAGGTTTAAGGATTTTATTTAAACCAGAAACCTGGTCACAAACAACGATTTCTTTGAAAAAAAAAAAGTTGAATTTTTAATGGTTTAGCCGACTTACCCATCTCCATCGAGTGTAATCTGAGTATTCGCTAATACTTTAAGGACTAGACCAACGGTAGTTTTTTCATTGCAGTCGATGCCCAACAGGCAGGACTCCTCCCCCCTGCTTCCCATCCTCGAGACGACGACCAGGTACCTCGTCCTTGTGGGGTGCACGCTTTCCAGTTTCACGGCCTGTAACAAAAAAAAAAAAAACGTCAATTTAATTACAAAAAGGAAAACGCACTCGGTCGGCCGGCTAATCGGGAATTCTGGGCGTGTCAGGTCGAGATTTCACATCATATTTATGAATTATATGTATAAACGGTTATAGCATTATAAACCAAGCTAGACCAGAAATTTCTTATTCGTGTCACCTGTATTGAGTTATTTTACTCCCTTTTGCTTAAAAGATGCGCCATGGGCGGCACGGAAATAAAGTTAAATGGGTAATCAAGAAGATAAAGAAGCCGCAATTCGATGAGTTTTAATAAAAAAAAGAAAATTGTCTAATGTTCTCGATAACACTAAATTTATTGGTTAGTTAAAAAATATCAAATAAATAATTAAAATATGTTGTTGGCCAAATGAACATATTATTATAATAGAAATTTTCTGCACATTATAAACAAATTATTATAATTTTAAGTTTAGCAGAACTAGATCGACGGAACTACTTCAATCAAGTCTAGGGTTGCCAGATATCCGGGTTTGACCCGGAGTTTTCGGGTTTTGATGGTACATCTTCGGGCTCCGGGTTAACATGTCATTTTTCCGGGGGTTTGCTTTTTTGTTGCGAAAAATACGTAAAACATTGTATGTCTCCAAGATTTCCCGATTGCGTAACTTTTTTTTCGTAGACATCGATTTCTTCAAAAAATTTGTCTTCCAGATTTCCTGATTACAAAACTTTTTTATGTTTGTTTTTTTTTATTTTTTTTAGTCATCAATTATACAATGTCTCCGGATCTGTCATGAAATAGATCTGGTAACCCTAATCAAGTCATCACCGCACAAATATTGAGCTGCACTTATAAAAACTGTAATTTAACATTGACATTTTCAATATTTCTATGTATCAATTAATTAATTTTATAAAGCAGTTGAACTACTTTTATTCTCTGTGTTTTTAATCGATTATAATATTTTTTATTATGTATTTCACAATTTTTGTTTTATATGTTTCAGTTATTTTTGCATTTGTTATCTTTACGTACTTTATATTATTGTATTCTTCCATTAATTGTATCGTTTAGGTTATACCCGTAGATACAAAAAATGTAATAAAGAAATAAATAAAACTTTATTAGGGGCATCTATGAAACTAATTAAATTTTATTGCTAGGCGTTTTTATACATGTTCAAATGACATCGGAAAGACTATAATAATTTGTGGTGGTATTTATAGTCATAAAATTAATTTTTCAATAGTTTAGGATTTTCTATTTTATTAATTTAATTAAACTAAAATCCATTATAGTACATTAAAGTTATATTTAAACTGCAGTATGATACAAGAGATTGAGGCATTATCCCAAATAATTTTTTTGATACATGATGTGGCACCCTCCACGTAGACAGCGATTTTCAAAATGTATATGTGGATGGATGAATGTAAAAATATTTATTTTTCAAAGTTTATTACACTCATTGTATTGATTTAAGTTTTTCCAGTTTGCTTATGAAATCAAAATTCTGTAGACCAGAACTTTCTTATTAGAAAGAAATTTTTGAAGTTTAAGTTTCTAGCAAACCTAAAGGTTGCAATGTAATATGCACATCCGTTTTACAATAATTTGATCGAATGAATTTGCCTGAAGAAGTTCTCACCAGTTTAAAAAAACATTTATCCGGTACATAGAAAAACATTGAACCTGATCAATTTATTGAATTCTGTTAATATTAAAATTATCCTCTACTTATTTTATTTATTTTGAGAATATTGTCCTTGTCCCCATTGAGAAGTTTTCTGGGGGCGCCCATGAATACAACGTATATAAATTTCCCGCTCAATACATCTTTCTCTAATCGATAAAGTAGTTCAAGTGTAAATTTTCGCCCTTATCCGGGATGTATAATAGATTAATCTACTTTGGAGAGGTTCAGAAGAGGAGTGAATTAATTGAGTAAAATAATATTCTATTCAACAGGTGAAACAATCGATGTCTGGAAATAACAATATTAAATTCCTCTCTCAATAACAATTTAAATAAAATTTAACTAGGGCACGATATTTATTATTTATTTATGAAGACATAGTCACTGTCCTCCACCTCTGCCTCTGGTTAAACTGTAACTTTCAATATAAAAACTCGGCAATGGCATTTTGCATTAATAATTCATATTTCTGCGTTAGTTGATGCATAATTTATTATTTCTGCATCGACATAAGACTTTTTCCCGTTTCGTCCGCTATCTCTTGTAATTATTAATGCCACTTCATTGAAATAAAACCCAACAAACAAAACCTTAACTGGTTCGTACGGGAAAATGTCACTTGTAATACGTTGAATTAAATATTCCCTGTGAAAATAGCGAACTCAAAACGTAAAATAAAACTGAAACTACAATTTTGCTTGAACTTTTTTTTTAATCTGACATGTTTTGAGTAATACTCTTTTTTTGAAATTTTTTCACGGTAAATAAATTATCTGCGCTGTACCACTTCCGTACTGAAATAGCATTTACAAAGATTTGAAATTCATCAGATGACAACTAAGATTACTGCTAATCAGACAAACAAAGAATTTTCCAGACAGTTTAAAACAATACTTGTCGGTAGACAACAGACAAAATTACTAGATGTGCATTAAGAAACCGCGACTTAGTATGCGTAATACAAACCTAGACTTATTGTTTATTTGTACGTATACATTTGGAATTCATGAGGAGTAAACAGTGAAAGTATTATGGCGCATTATAAACAGATGCATCGAAAGGTTTTACGACTACGTGAAAAAATGTATGTGCGCGGAAGATAACCAATAGAATTATTATTAATTATTATTGTTTTGCTTCTGCTTACCTTCCTTCATTAAAACCACACGTTATTCGTATAAGGCAATGAATGGTAACTGCTGAAGAATAAAATTACATATAAACTACCAGGTTAAAGACATTGCAGACAAATTCGTATTGTCGTATCGCTCAGACGATTCCAATTTGTTTGTTTTGGACCTCCATCAAAAAGTTCGAACGAGCAAAGCAAGTCGGTGGTTTTCATTAACAAACACCACGATGAAAAATATCCGCAGATGTCCAGATTTTATTTTTAACGCCGCTCTTGACACGGCACGTGGGTTATCGAAATTTAACAACAGGTTGATTCCTAAATTCACTGTAAAAAGCACAAGCGCATTTAATTTGGTAGGTGCCTCGTGGGCAACCGGCCACATTCAGCGTTCTCCCACATTTTGTCCAAACATTTTAGGTCAAGACTTCGGACTGAGCTCAAAATTGACTGTGGTATGTTTCCAAAGTGGTAGGTGTCTTGCATTTAGGAACTTCTATATCTGTACCTTAAAACGTAGTTGAATGTAATCTTGAAAAAACGCCTAAAGTTACTGGTAACAGACCTACTCATCTTCATACACATCACTGACGTTTGGTTTATTACAATGCGGAGGAAAAACGCTAACAATAGCACACAACAATCGAAATATGACTTGGCAAAAAACTGTAGGCGCGTGACAGAAATAAATTAGCGACGGACTAAAAATTATAACGAGACTGCTCTCTTTACTACCTTGACATTATTCCCATTTTAATATTTTACATGATGCGGAGATCCCTGGTTACAGAAACTAGGTAAATAGATCTGCGGCCTCGCCTATGGCCTTTTACACGAATTCGAAGTGTTGGCGAATAATAAATTTTGATTTGAATTGTTTTTGTAACGGAACTTGCTGGCTGGTTTTAAAACAAATCAGACTTGTTTAAATATTTGTTGATGGTTGACGTAGACTCACGAAATTTTGACTAATTAAAGATAAAAATTCATCAAATTGGTAAAAAAATTCTAGCAAGCAGTGATAGGAAGAATCTTGCATTTAATTTAACTCTATGTTAAAATCTATCAGATAGGGTTCAGTTTTTCTTTATTCTTAAGAGTTACATAAAAAATTACCTAACCCAATTTTAAGTAAAAATCTATTACCAGACAAAACCGGGAGAAAAATAACTAAAAAAGTCCCTAGCAATTGGGCTATGTCAGTAGGTACAAGTATTCTTTTATATGTACGTGTATATTAAAAAAAATTACCTAATTACATAGAGAAATCTATGTGGTAAGGTTAAATTTTTCTTTATGTACTTTAGAGTGACCCAAAAATAAACGAATATTTTTTTTTCGTGTCTCTTGTGAATATACGTTAGTTTATCACGTTTCAAGAGCCCCCTCAAAAAATCGGCTCAAAAAAAATTTTTTAGTTCGTTCAAGATTTTAAAAAATTTCCATAATCGTCAAAAATTGATTTTTGTTTTAAATTATTTTTCTCGTTATTTTATCATTTTCTAGGTTGAAAAAAATCTCGATTCTGAAAATTTCAAATCGATATTTTAATTTCTAAAGGTCACTCATAATTATTTTAGCTTTAAAAGTAGTGTACCTAAAATGTTTTCGAGCGACCTCTAAAAATAAATATGAACGAAGTAATAATTTTTTTTTATTGAATTTGATGAACAAAAGAATACAAATAAATCACAAGACACCTTAAAAAATTTCTCGAGACAAAATTTACTACCGCACTGTATCAAATATTTAAAATGTTTAATTTTTTTTAAATTTAAGGGTCTCGTGATTTATTTCTATCCTTTTGTTCATCAAATTCAATAAAAAATATTATTAGTTCGTAGATATTTATTTTTAGAGGTCGCTCAAAAACATAAGTACCTACACTAATTTGAAAGTTAAAATAATATTGAGTGACCTTTACAAATTAAAATATCGATTTGAAATTTTCAGAATCGCAATTTTTTTCACCCTAGAGAAAGATTAAAAAAGGGGGGAAAAATTAAAATAACAATTAAAATTTTGACGATTTTGTAAATTTTTAAAAATATTGAGCGATTTCTAAAAAAATTTATTTTGAGCTGATTTTTTGAGGGGGCTCTTAAAACATGATAAACTAACATATTTTCACAAGAGACACGAAAAAAATATTCGTTTTTATTGGGCCACCCTAATGTACTTACCT